ACCTTAGCACCTAGGAGCCGCTGTCCTCGCGTTCTCTCGTAAACGCGTGCAGCCATGTCTGCGCCTAGACTAAGACGAGCCGACACCCTTCGAAATGGCCGAGCACATCGATATCACGACTCTCACGCAGGAGCACTTGAACGATTTGCTGCGACAAATCCGCGAGAGCGCCGAGGAAATCGCGACGCTGACGGCAGAACGCTTGTCAGTGCAAAATGACCTCATACGAGCACAACAAGCACAATCTCAAGCAACCTGCGAGCGCGGCCAGTGATGGCGTCGTCTGCCCCGACGGAGACGATGACCACGGCACGACACACCCCGAAGCGACGAATGCGGCCCGAAGCCAGCCACGCGCCACAATTTCGGCACCAACCGACGGTTCGGCACTTCCGTCACCGATGCCGCTGAAGCCGCAGCGTCCGCCATGCTTCGATCCTAGCCAACGTGGTGGTCCTACCTGTGAGAGTAGTAGGTATAGTGAGGAGCCATAGCTAGGGTTTACCTAGCTAGGCAAGAGAGAATTAGGCAAAAGAGGGGATTGGCTAGAAAGAAGGGAGGTACAAATAGCAAGCCCTAAAAGGGTATACTCACTATTGAGTACCCCACTACAGACTAGACAAGCATTATATTCTGACACACCTCCATAGTCAAAGTGGGGTATAATAAGCAGAGCACACAGTCATAGAGCAGGTTCACAATGGCAAGCAAAGCTAGAGGCTATCACAGAGGGCAAGTGAGGAGGAGGAGAGTACTGTGGACGGAGAGAAGATGGGAGGCAACGACTGAAGCTGCAGAGGCACGGGCATAGGAGCGGCTGACTCAGCGGCTACCGAAGCAAGGGCGACGGACTACTGGAGTGACTGGCTCCGCGGCTATAGACGAGCGGCAGGAGCAACGGACCCACTGGCAACTGGTGCAACAGGCTCATTGGCTACCGAAGCAAGGGCGACGGACTACAGGCGCTGCAGGCGACACGACAACTACCTCCACACAACCTCCTCCAACTGACCCAGACCCTTGACACACACCCTAACTGCTTCACCCCTAACTCCACTCCCATGTCACCCCCCTAGCACCACTCCTTCGTCTCCCACACACCCACCCCCCTTAGCGGCAGCTGCAGCAGCGGGAGACGGAGGAGGAGGAGGAGCAGGGGACCGCTCACACACCCGCCACCCCCATACCCGTCACCCCCATACCGTGAGTGTGCGGTAAGCGAGCTCAGGTTTGCGCGAAGCGTGCACAAGCGTGCGGGAAGCGAACTCGGGTGTGCGGTAAGCGAACTCAGGTGTGCGGGGAGGGGGGCCGCAGGGCGACACGCGGGTCCACGAAGCCGCGCACGGGTCCCACGGGGTGGCGCGCCGGGATGGCGGGGGCCGCGCGCGGGTCCCTAGGGCGACGCAACGGGATCGCGGGGGGCGCACGCGGGTCCCCAGGGGCGACGCGACGGTCGACGGGGTGGACGCGCGGTTCTCCGCGGGCGGTGCGACGGTTGACGACGAGGGATGCGCGGGTCCCTGGGTGACACGACGGTCGACGGGGAGGGACCCGCGGGTCCTCGGGGTGACGCGTGAGGCAGAAAACCACCGTGCGCCCCGAGCGCGCGGTGGGCGGAAAACCGCCATGCGCCCCGAGCACGTGGCGGGAAGAAAATAAACGTCGCACGCCACGGGGCGCGCGACAGACAGGATAGCAGCGGAAGCAGGTGGGCCCACAGGTCAGGAGCGTACTAGCTCTGATAGCATGTGAGAGTAGTAGGTATAGTGAGGAGCCATAGCTAGGGTTTACCTAGCTAGGCAAGAGAGAATTAGGCAAAAGAGGGGATTGGCTAGAAAGAAGGGAGGAACAAATAGCAAGCCCTAAAAGGGTATACTCACTATTGAGTACCCCACTACAGACTAGACAAGCATTATATTCTGACACTACCGTTCAGGCGTGGTTGTTTACGATAAACGTGTTTTTCGACGCCAACTACGTCTTGAAGGATACGGCGAAAATCCGCTACGCCGTGTCGTTGCTGCGAGGACCCGCCATAGATTGGTGGCGCGTCATCGTCACGAAGCCGTTAGACTACGCGACTCTACCGACACGGGAAGGACGAACCGGACCCTGGGCGCCGTCGTATTTCGTGGAGGTGCCCCAATATCGCACATGGGACGCGTGGTGCGCAGGTCTGCGCGCTCGTTTCGAGCCAATTGCGACTTCGATCAAGGCGCGACAGAAGCTCCGCACTTGGCGCCAGCTCAGTTCCGTCCAAGACTACACGAGCGGATTTCTGGCGCTATGCGAGTAGATGGAATACATGCACGAGAGCGAGCGCATCGACCGCTACATCGGCGGCCTGAAGCAGGACATCGCTAAGGAAAACCAGCTTCGCGGCGTCACCGACTTTCAAGAAATTCTCGCTATGGCGGAGAAACTTGATTTCTTCCGCCGACCGAGACCGGGGTCCTACGGAAGCAGCCATTGGGGACATCAGCCTCGTGGGACGAACGAGGGCGCCACGATACGAGCCGTCGCCACAAATGCCGCTGCCGCACCGTTCAAAGGGTGCTGCTTTGCGTGCAATCGGCCGAGACATCGCAAGAGCGAATGCCCGGAAAACGCAGAGGGAAAGGGGGAAGCTGAGCAGCAGAAACAGACCAAGCAGCAGGGAAACGCTGGGAGTCAGTAGCAGACGGGCCCTCTACTGACAGGTCACGCCGCTCACCCGACCCAACCGACCCTCACCGAGTGATTGTGCCGGTACACGCAATCGACCACACCCGGCCGAATAAGGAGGGGACTACGGTAGACAGCCCCATACTACTTAGTGGGAAAATTGGGACGGACTGAGAAAAGATCTTAGTAGACGGGGGAGCCAGCCACAACCTCATCAACACTGCCACAAAACGAAAACTGCGACTACCACTGGACAGATGTTTACGTGAGATTGACGCCAGACTGGTAGACGACACGCTGCTGGCGATACGGGAACGCGTAGACCGGGTTCGGATTCGATGTGGGGGTAACTTCACGTTTAGCCAGAAAATGCTCGCAACGACCCTCGACGGAATCGATATTTTACTCGGGCGTGATTGGCTGCGACGACACAATCCGCGAATCGACTGGACGACGGGTGAATGCACCGTGCGAGTGAACGGTAACAACATCGCCTTACCTCGCTGGGGCTCGCTTAAGTCTTCGTCAGTGCGTGTCAACGCGATCACGATGAAACGCGCCGTAGCGGCAGGAGCTGACGTGTACGCGGTCGACATTCGGGAAGCCGAGGCAGCAGACAAAAGAAGGGATTTACAGAAACTGCTGGCCGACGTACCGAGTGATCTGGCAGCACTGTTGAAGCAGTACAGCGACATTTTCCTGGACGATTTACCGACGGGACTGCCAGCTCAGCAACCGCACGAACACAGGATAGAGTTAGAACCGGGGGCACAGCCAACAGTACAGCGACAGTTCCGACTGACCCAGCCCGAACTGGACGAACTGAGGAAGCAGCTCGATTACCTGCTCGAGAAGGAATTCATTCGCCCTAGTTCATCGCCTTTCGCAGCAGCGATACTGTTCGCACCGAAAAAAGACGGGGGATTTCGCATGTGCATAGATTATAGAGCACTGAACAGGGTTACCATCAAATCCCGTTACCCCATCCCGCGAGCCGACGAACTGATCGACCAACTACGCACAGCCCGGGTTTTCTCGAAAATCAACCTCAGAGGGGGTTACCACCAGATTCGCGTCAATCCGCCCTACTGCCCTAAGACCGCATTTGGCACACGCTACGGATCCTTTAAATACACTGAGAAGAAACTAAGTCGACGAGCTCAGCAACTAGGGCAGACGCAGTAGTGGACTCAAAGGAAGGGTCAGCGACGATAGTAGCAAGGAGACGTGTGACAGTAGGACTGGCAGCACGAAGAGAGTTCGACTCCGGGTCGGCATGAGCAGGAAGAGAGGACTCAGGAGGAGAAGGCAAAGGGGCACGCAGAGGAGCAGTGGACGGACGGAGAGACATCCGGTGCGTGCCAAGGATAGGAGGAGGACGCTGACGCGAACCACGACCACTAGTGCGAGCAGTACAGACAGGCGACGCAGGGCGAGATGCAGGCTCACGACGCTCAGCAAGACCTCCAGTAGGACCAGTGTAGGGAGAAGGAGCAGGCAGTGGGGAGGCCGGCTGTAACTGTAACTGTGACGGGACAGGCTATGGACACTCTAAGGGAGGAGGAGGACCAGTAGAAGGCGGGAGACCAAGAACGTGCTGAAGGAGCGGAACGAAGTACGGCCGAGGCCGCGCAGCGACTCCAGACACAGCAGGGACAGCACCAGTACCCCCAGCGGCAGCACCAGCGCCAGCAGCACCTCCAGCTCTAGTACCTCCAGCAGCACCAGTAGCACCTTCAGCAGGACCTTCTCCAGGACCGACAGCAGTAGCCTTAGCGCCAACACCCTCAGCAGCTCCAGCTCCAGTCGTACCCGCAGGCCCAGCAGCTCCAGTACTCCCAGTACGAGCACCTCCGGGACCCGCGGCACCAGCACCCTCAGCAGCCGAAGAACCTCTAGCTCCAGCAGCACGCCTCCTGCGCCGGGCAAACCACTCGCGCAGCTCCTCTGGAGAGAGTGCTCCCGCCGAGACGAAGAACCCGGAGAACCTCCAGGCCCAGCACCGCCAGACGCCACACGAGCACGCCCAGCTCCCTCAGGCTCCGCACCCCAAGGCTCAGCACCTCCAGGCGTAGCACCCCCAGGCTCAGCACCCCCAGGCGTAGCACCCCCATGCTCAGCACCCCTAGGCTCAGCACCCTCAGTGGTAGCACCCCCAGGCTCATCACCCCAAGTAGTAGCACCCTCAGGCTCAGCACCCCCAGTAGTAGCACCCTCAGGCTCACTACTCCCAGGCGTAGCACCCACACGCTCAGCACTCCCAGAGTCAGCACCCCCAGGCTTAGCACCGTCAGCAGCACCAGAGTCACCAGTAACCTCGACAGGCTCGACTGCGTCTACGTGGGACACACCTGAAGGGGCAGGACCCTGAAGGGGAGGGGGTCTACCGGGGGGGGACCGGGCACAAGGAAGAGCAGTGGCGGGGGGAGGGACGGAGTGCGGTAGGGGAAGAGGCAGTAGTAGGGGACCGACTCGTCAAACGTGACAACCTGGGAGGACAGAACACGGCGAGAGGTGGGGTGGTAGAACTGCCACCCTGGCGCGTCAGGAGGGAAGCCAAGGAAGACGCAAGGAGCAGCACGAGGGGACAGCTTGTCCGCAGACAAGTGGCGGACAAACGCACGAGATCCCCAGACACAGAACGCAGACGCATCGCCAACCTTCCCGGTCCACAGCAAAGCTGGGGAGGTCTCCGGCCTGGAGACCCTGGGGTGAAGGTTGATCTGATGACCCGCGTACCGAACCGCAAACGGCCACAGAAAATGGGGGGCAGCCGCATGCATCATGGACGTACGGGCGACGTCCATGACCATGCCAATGCGGTGCTCAACAATCCCATTTTGCTGTGGAGAGTCCGGAAGCGTGAAGGTCTGGCGGATGCCTCGTGCACGACAGTAGGCTCGCAGAAGGCCAGAGGAGAACTCTCCGCCTCCGTCAGAGTGCAGACGCAGAACATGAAAGTCTTAGCCGAAGCTCTGGCTGAGCTGGAGACGAGCTGCGCGGATCCAGTCGATCAACACCTCAGTGACATCACCCTTGCTGCGCAAGGGGAAGACTGTGGTGTAACGCGAGTAGTCGGCCTGTCCGAGCGTCTGTGTAGTGGGTCACCCGCTGACTTGCAGGAGTGAACTGGTGAACGCCCGCATCCTGTAGGTCAGCACCACTCACCAAGTTCGTAGAGAACGAGTGGAGGTAAAGACCAGACAGGGTGCCAGAGGGGGCCGCCGGACACGGGAGGACAGTGGAGAAGTGAGCAAGGACAAGACCCCCAGAGGGGTCTGCCTGAGAGACTGCAACTGGCCGGCCAAGCGGCGTGAGTGTGGTGCGGTCTCGAAAGAAGGAGCGAGAAGCTCCCGAGTCAAGGGAGAAGGTGTGGAAGGCTGAAGCCGACGCAGCACCTGAGAGAGCAGACTCACCAGCACCTGAGGGAGCAGACGCACGAGCACCTAGAGCAGCAGCCTCGCTAGCACCTAGAGCAGCAGCCTCACCAGTACCTAGAGCAGCAGTCTCAATGCCCGGGTTGGACGGAAAACACCGGTAACAGTCACCCTCATCACTGATAGTCACAGCATATATGGCAGCAAGAATAGCATCAAAGTCAAGGTCAAAGACAGCTACTCCCGCCCTAGACAGCTCGCCCCAGCGGGGGATCTTAGTCGCCTCAGGGAACTGGTGACGCCAAGTGTCCGTCAGGCGGCCAAAGCAGCGGTGGGTGGAGTGCGCACCCCCGCACTGCTCACCCGCGCGGTCGCCGCTGTGTAGGACGTAGGTGCACGGACCAGTACCCCCACCCCGCTGGCGTGCAGCGTACCACTCACGGAGCTGCTGAGGGGGGGGGATGTCACGAGTGCACTGCTGCTGCTGCTGCTATTGGCGTTGACCACCACCGGAGCCGACCCTCTGCGCAGCGCCACCCTGACCAGCTCCACCTCCTCCGCCGCCGCCTCCTCCACCGCCGCCACCTCCGCCACCTCCGCTCCCACCGCCACCGCCGCCGCCGCCTCCGCCTTCACTGCCGCCACCGACACCTCCACCCCCGCCACCACTCCCACCACCACCCCCACCCCCTCCACTGCCTCCACCGCCACCTCCGCCACCCCCGCCAGCCCCTCCAGCACCCTTGCCCCCCTTGCCCTTGCTAGTGCGGCGTCTCCCGCTCGGGGCAGACGCAGCGCCGACCAACTCGAAACCAACGAGGTTGGCCGCAGCAGCAGAGGCAATAGAGGGCAAAAGGGGGAGAGGGAACACCCCTCAAAGACGGGGGTGCGAGGGTCACCACGAGAGGCTCCTACAGCGACTATGCTCTTCTCGGCCGCTAGGAGGGCCTTCTCAAGGAGGTCAACGGTGAGAGTAGTGGGGCAAACTGAGAGGAAGTGGTCCCTGACTACGCGAAGGGAGTCAGGGAGCCGGGTGACTATGTAGTAGAGGGTGGTGTACATGGGGGGGAGGTTCTTGGCGCAGAACTTAGCAGGAAGCGCAGCGCGGTATCGAGTGTCACTAGTGCGGAGGTGCGTAATGAGGTCAGCGACTGTGGGAAAGGCAGCAAGGTCAGGGAAGAGGTACGGTAGCATGAGGCGGCTCAGTGCAGCAGTGGCAGGGGAGGAGTAGCGCGCAACTACAGCGTCGTACAACGTCTGAGCACTCTTGTACTGGCTAAAGTGTGCACGCTCAGAGGTAGGCAGGTGGCGACGCACAGCAAGACGTGCAGCAGCATCGCGTGTGGCCCATTGTTAGCGAACAGTGGCGTCGGCATCAGCAGCAAGGGCAGGAGAGGCACCAGAGGTGAGGTCAAAGAGGGAGAGACCGTCTGCCCTATCGCACTGTAGGAAAAGCTGCAGATCATCTACCCAGACGTCAAAGTCAATGGCCCGACCCTCAGCGTCAAAAGCGAGGACACTAGGGGTAGCCATGACAGCAGTAGACTAGCAGCGCGAACAGTAGGGTAAGGGCAGTGCAGTGACAGAGGCGCTGCTCTTACCGGACAGAATGGCTCGGGCGGCTCGGCGGTTCGGCAACTCGGCGGCTCGGGCGGCTCGCGCAGCTCGGCGGTACGGCGGCTCGGCAGCAACAGCGGCTCGGCGACTCGGCGGCTCGGGCGGCTCGGGCGGCTCGGCGGTACAGCGGCTTGGCAGCAACTGCAGCTCGGCGGCTCGGCGACCCGGCGGCTCGGGCGGCTCGGCGACCCGGCGGCTCGGGCGGCTCAGGTGGCGCGGCGGCTCGGGTGGATCGGGCGGCTCGGCAGCAGCTCGGCGACACCGGCGGCTCGGTGGTGACGGCGGGGCCGCGTGGGGACGGCGGCGGGGCCAGGTGGAGCGGCGGCGGGGCCGGGTGGAGCGGCGTCCCTTCCGGGTGGAGCGGCGTCGGGGCCAGTAGAGGCGGCGCCGGGGCCGGGAAGGGCAGCTCCGGGGCCGCAGGGGTAGGCGACGGGGCCAGCAGAGGCGGCGCCGAGGCAGGGAAGGGCGGAGCCGGGGCCGCAGGGGTAGGCGACGGGGCCGCTAGGGCGGCTAGGAGGGGGGGGTCGCGAGGGCGGCTTGAAGAGGCCGCGAGGGCGGCTAGAAAGGGCCGCGAGGGCGGCGTGAAAGGGCCGCGAGGGCGGCGCGACGCGACAGAGCCGCGAGGGCGGCAGATCGGGGCCGCGAGGGCGGCGCGACGCGGCCGTTAGGGCGGCGCGACGTGAAGGGGCCGCGACGGGGCCGCAAGCGCGACGCGACAGGGTCGAAAGGGCGGCTCGACGGGGCCGTGAGAGGGGAGCGCGACTCGACCAGTGTAGAGCGCGCTCCGGGTAGGAAAAAAAAAGTGGTGGGCCCTAGGAACAGTTCCCACAGGGGAACCTGCTCTGATACCATGAGAAACTGAACGAGAATGAAATGACTAAGGGAAAGTTGGGTACAAGTGCAAACCCTAGAAAGCTGTACCCCATATGTGCTACCCCACTATAGCCTACTGTAGCTATGTCATATAAATCTGACAAACACCACGTGCACAGCAATTCGCCGAAATTCGGCAAGGTGCTCGCACCAGAGCCGCAGAAGCAATTAAAAATACAAACGTCATAGCTAAGCGCAACGCTGACCGCTACTGCCGCCTAATCACATACCAGTCAGGGGATAACGTACTGCTCGACACGCAAAATCTGCGACTGCCCGACGTACCGAAACTTCGACCGCGCTACTGTGGATCATTCCAAATCAGCCACATGATCACGCCAGTAACCACGCACCTACTGTTACCGACCGACTAGTACATCAGCCCATCGTTCCACGTCAGCCTACTTCGCCCATACATCCCAACCACCAGCCAACTGCCTCGTCACTGCCCGCATTCCATGACTCGCCCTGCATCGGAGCCGATCATCGAGCCTGGAAAAATCATGAGCCATCGGATTCGCCACTCCACGGGAATCAGGAGGATTGAACTCCTCGTTCGCTGGAAGGACCGCACGCCAACTGAAGATAGCTGGGTGCCCTTGGCCAACATTGAAAACCACCCTGCCCTGCAACTGTACCTGAGGAGCCGGGGATTCCGCGATATACACGCACTCGCGTAGCGGAGGGGGCTTCTTGAGGGGGGGGGGGGGGGGTTAGTGTAAGGAATTTTCACGGCATTCCTTACGGAGCTCGACTACATCGCGTACAGCAACAGCCGTTGTTCGCCCATTACTGCTAACGGGACTTCGCCAACTTGGCGCGCACTGTTTTGCCAAACCTCGCCCTGCTGGCCCGGCCGTGTCGGCCTACGCTTCGGGACTAGCCCGAGCCTCGCTGCCAGCGTAGCACTAGCTAGCTCGCACGCACTGCGTTACCGTTTGCTTGTTCGCATATAAATGTTCGGTCATGCCTTCGCTCACATCTTTGTGCTCGTTTGACACCTTAATGCAATTCTCCCTACTTAGATTCATTGCACCCGTAACATTGCACTATTGATTAAGATCAATACATAACCTTAGACTTTTGGGTGCACTTACTGTGTTGGCTGGACTGGGAACGAGGGGAGGGGGCAGCTGTGGATTGAGTCGATGTGTGTAACAACAACTTACAACACCGACTCGAACAAGATAGGTGGTTTGGCGAGGCGGCTCGGCGCTTATAAATTTCTGTTACAACTTCTCTACAGTGGTCCGTTTGGAAAATAGACTGCGTCTGTACACTGTCATGCCTTTCGATAACCGCGGAAGCGAGTGAAGCTACACGCCATTGCGGAACAAATGAAACCTCGTATGGTTACGGGCGAACAATTGTGCTGAACCGGAGGAAACTGTCGCCGAAAGGATTTACTTCAGTGAATAATTGTGTGAATTGTAACACGCCTTCACTCATGACGCGTGGAGAGAAATGGGGGGTAGGGTGGATGCAATCGCTGTGTCTGCGAAGACTGGAGCCTATCAATGAATATTGCTTGTGCCAGTGAACGGCTCATGACTGGAGATTAGGACCAGGGATCTATTATCTGCTAGCCGGAAACTATGTTGAATGTAGGTAGTATACAGCGAGGCAACAAGCTTTGATGCCTGCTTGCTGCAATATAATTAAGTAGTGGAATAACTAAGTTTTCAAATCAATCCAAGCCCACTATACAATACATGTGGAATAGCCGAAACGGAGTCAGCGTTTTACGGGAAGTCTTGCACGGGCATCACTTGTCTAGCGCGCCCATACGCGGTATAAGCGCAGTCCACAGCAAGCACGTCGCTCGCCTCGTACGACCGCGGCGTGCCATCCAGGAACCCTTGCGCCTCCGCGCCGTCGGCGGAGATCGGACGGTGCAGGCTCGCGATCAGCTTCTGGAAGTCCGCGGCGCGCTGCGCGTGGTCTTCGCGGTACGTCTGCCCGAGCACGCCGTGGATCGCGTCGGTGTGCTCCAGCTCCGCAATGCCAACGTTAATGTGCGCCTCGGCGTCGCTCGGCGTCTGCAGCTTCGGGTGCGCCACGCGCAGGCGGAGGTCGAGCGAAATCAGGCCGTCGATCGTCAGCAGGTAGTAATCCACATCGAACGGCCCCTCCTTCTCCAGCCCACGGAACTGGATCGTCAGCCCGCCGTCGCTCGTCACGCTGTCGCCCACCTGCATGCGCGGGATCGCCTCGCCGTCAATCTCGATGCTCTTCACGAACCCATCGCCGCGCTCCTGCTGCTTGCCGCCGCGCGCCGCGATGCGAATCTTGTGGTCGACGCCCTTGGCGGTCCACACAATGCCGAGCTCCTTAATCCACGTGTGCACGGCCTTGCCGTCGACGACTAGCGCCGCGTTGTCGGTGCGCTCGTCGTAGTACCCGCGCAGCAGCATGTTCACGTGCAGGTCGCGGTCCGTCAGCAGGCAGAACGCCTTGTCGGGGCGGCCGTTGAAGTCGAAGTGCGTGCCGTGCGCGCCCACCAGATGCGGGTCGTTGAGAATCTTGGCGCTCGGGTTGCACTCGCCACCGATGCGCACCTGAAGCGGCACGGGCTTCGTCTCCGTGCTGTACTGCGCGGTCATCTCTCCGCACGTGAAGTCGATCTGATCGTGGATCAGGTAGCACGCGCCCTTGCCCTTCTTCCCGTCGATGGTAATATCGGGGATGTACTGCCAGTACGTGCACAGCGGCGTCGCGGCGCACGTGTTGCAGCACGACGCGGGGTTGGCCTTGAGAAGCGTGAGCGGGTTACCCGGAACGTACAGCTCGTACCCGAGCTTGTTCTTCTGCAGGTACGCCGTCTTCCACTTGGCGGGAATGCCGCCCTTGGAGCAATTCTTGGGCGTGCACGCGCCCGCCAGCTCCTTGTTCAAACCCGGCGGGCATTTCTGCGCGTTCCACCCGGCCTTCTTCACATCAGCCATGAAAAACGTGTCCTGCGCCGTGTCAACGTATGTCACTCCCTCCGCGTTGCCCGCCGCCGCCTGCTTTGCGATGGCCGCGGGGATTTCGGTCATGAGCCCGTCGTCTTTCTTGCTGCTCTGGTCGGGCTTCTCGTTCGCCGTCGAGCTTGTAATGGGGCTGCCGGCGCGCGCCGCCACGAGCAACAGCGCGAGGGAGAACGCGAAAAGAGCAGATCGTGCCATTCTGGCGGTCGTGAAGGTTAATATATCTGGGGAACGATACTCTCTGAATTTGTGAGGACTCCTCGGATGAATGAATTGCTAACCCAAAGCATGTGAATACCCAATCTGTGTCCCGTGTTGCTACGTTGCTGAGTTGGTCTGAATCTCTTCAATGGCTGGACTTCTATTTGCGAGACAAATTGGGTTGGAGTTGGTGTGTCGCCGAATTGTCCTTGCTGCGCTGCGGGCCTTCCCAAATGTTGCTGCTGGTAAAACTGCTCGAGATGGCACAAATCACGAACCGCAGGGCGAAACCGGAATGCATCTGACATCTGGATTTCCCTGCGACTTCGCTGAATGGAGACGCAGATGTATGTGGCACGTGGATTCCAGCAGCGACACATCCAGAATTACCGTGTCGGCCCCAAAACTGTCACCACTTTCGTGTGATTGGTCGAGGGTTTTGAGCGGGTTTTTGACGCGATTGGTTCTCGATTTCCCCACCGAACCTGTCTCTTGGGTTTCCCGAACCTACATTTTTTTCGTTGACTTCGTTGTGTAATTCGGGGTGTGGCCTGATGTTCTGATTGCTTCTATATGGCCGATCTGTTTCATCTTCAGCAGGTGCAGCTTAATTTAACCGGGGTTCTTCCCCTAGATCTACCTTAAAAGATACACGACATCATACACTACCCAGCAATCGTTTGTGTTCTGCCCACGGTTCGACTTATCTGAATGGGTACAGGTGTTTTGGCCTTCGTCTGGAGAGTTGGTTCGATCGACAGTACAGATGCACGATGCAATCATGCAACACCTGACCCTGGACATGGGCTGTCTACCAGTCAGACATTCGTTTGTTATTCGCTAAGAACATTGTGCGATGTTCTGATGGCAGTA